GATAAAGCATTACTTCTTGGTTTTCCCAACATTAAATAACCTTTTAGACACTGCTTTTATTAATGCTTAATAGATGATCTTGCAGTGAGCAGACACTCAAACATCAGCTGATTGATTTTAGTATTTTCCCATTAGAAAATGGTACTTTTTCAAATAAAATTGGGGGGAAGAAGAGGCACGAAGGTATATGTGATTAGCTGATTAGCTTTTCACAATGAATGTGAGATTCTATACCACACAGAAGACAGTGCTACATGACGACGATGTTTTTTATTTGCTGTGCTTGGCCTGGGGTTTGCAGTTTGCTGTTAGGTTGCCATAGTAACCTGCATCTAACAGACACAGAAGGATCCTACCTTTTAAAAAGGGAATCACTCTGTAATTTACTGATAATGGATTTTTAAAAACACATATGACTGTCCTGAGAGTTAAACACAGGTTAAAACAGTAAAATTGCTTCCAATAAGCTAAAGAGACATATAAATAGATGCAAAGAAAAATTCTTTTAAATATTCTGTATTACATAAAAAAAGGGGGGGGGGAAGAAGCTCCTCTGGAATTTTCAATACATCCATAAAGCTCCCTATAGTCTTTAATATTTGTTTATTTACAATAAAAAATCAAAATTAAGGAACATATTTCTCTCTCACAGAAAGCAAACTCCATTAGAGCAGGAACAGTAACAAATATGCAAATTATCAATAAAAATAAGTTCAAGAAGAAAAACCAATAACCAAGGGTTAATTACAGCAAATATATACATAGGAAATTTGATAGCAACCAAAAGAATTTTAACAGGATTATAAATTTCTAAATTGTAAATTTTACTCTGAGTACCTAATAATTCACACTTCCCATTAATATCAATGTAGGGGCTACCAGCAGTGAGAACAGACATAAGAGAACCGCAATTACCAACAGAAAATAGTAGTTAAAAAAGGCAAATTGCTGCTGCTTGTGTATATGCCATGGGCTGTTTACATCATTCCTAGTTCCACTCCTCCTACCACCACGGACATATTCATTCTACACTAAACAGCCTAATTTTTAACACACTGAATTAATTAAGCACACTGCTTGAAATATATCATGAAATCATATGAGATGCAATAGATAGTAATATAAATAAGTGAAAAATTCATTAGTCTATGCAATTAAACAATTCCAGATGAGCAAAACTGGAAAGTACTAAGCATAGCACTTCAGATAAAATTTGAACATGCATTTTGTGTTTTTAAAAAATCCCTGTGGTCTCAATACAGAAGACAGATGAGGCAGAGTGAGTGAGAACCAGGGCAAAAGAGACCTGTCTCTAAAGGATAAGGGGTGCTGAACAAAAGCAGTGGCAGGCATACCAATGTTCACTGCAGCGTTATTTACAATAGCCATGATGTGGAAGCAACCTAAGTGTCCATCAGCAGATAATGGGTAAAGAAGATGTCACACATACACACACAAATATTATGTAGCTGTTAAAAATGAAATCTCGCCATTTGCAACAACATGGATGAATCTAGAGGGTATTATGCTAACGGAAATAAGTCAGAGAAAGGCAAATACCCATATGACAAGGCAAATACCCATATGACCTCACTTATATGTGGAATCTACAAAAGAAACAAAACACATGAAAACAAACTCATAGATACAAAGAACAAATGGATAGCTGCCAGAGAGGAGAGGAGGGGGAAGGGTGAAATAAGTGAAAGGGATTAAGAAGTACAAACCTTTTCTTTAATCCTCAACACCCTTAGGAGATAAATATTGTCCTTATTTTACAAAAGGGGATATTGAGACTCAACTAACAGATATCCGGACTTATGTAGCTATGACTTTTAACAGAGCCTAGATCCAAACTCAGGTTTGTCAAAGCCCAAAGTCACTGCTCTTTAATGCCCAAGTTCCTCCCGGCATAAACTGAGTTTAGCCAAGTTTGACTATGTATAGGCAGTGAAACTGGCCATTAATCTGCTCATCTTCTTGTCTACCCTTTGTTAATATATACAACTACAAAAAGAATTCTTATGTAACGTGTCCCTCTAATTAAAACTTTGGGCTTACTTTATAAAATTTCATTTTGTGTTTAATTTTCAGAAACAGCCTTCATTCTTAAATGCTAAATGCCATTATCCGTAGACTGAGCAGGTTTGGCAAGGAGAGAGGATAAATAACACATTTTGCTTGAAAACACTGGGCTTGAAGTGTTCCTAGGATACTAAGACAGGCTGGTGGGCAGTAAAATATACTCTGCAGTAGAGGTGGATTTGGGAGTGGAGCTAAGAAAGCCACAGAAACTATTCTGAATTTGTTTACCAGGGAAAGTATGTTGAGTGAGAAGGATGTATCTTATTAACTAGTGAATCAAAAACACTAACATTAATGTAAGTGTCTACCCTTGACCCTCAGTTTTCTTGACTTACGAGTGCGTGAATGTGTGTGTGGGTGTGCGTGTAACTCTGAGGTTTAATTATGTCTTACATACAAAGCATACCATTACGGTAAAAGTTTGAGTTATTTATTAATTCCTGAAAGTAAGCTAAGTGCAGCTTTGATTAATTTTCCTAACTTAGGTCTAAAAATGATAGTCAAAATTGTATCTATACAAAATTCTACATCCAGGCACTCAGTAAAATATATTCAGTAAAATAAACTTTCGGGAATAAAACTTGTTTTTCACTGTAACCACTTTAACATGCCATTTGTGCTGACTTTCTGCCAGACTCAATTCTAATACTTTATACTAATTACAGATGGACACATACATAAAACTGAAATTCTCTCTCTCTACCCGGACCCCTGCCCCAACACATTTAAGAATCCTGTGCGTTAGGTACTATGTTATTTTCTCCAATCACAGAACAGGAACTGAACTCTATAGAGGTGTTACCGTAAACTTGCCCATAGTCACACAACACTGGTTCTGTCTTACACAAAAACATGTTTTTAGGCAATATTCTAGTAATCTCCAAACTTTTTTCTACTTATAACCTTCAAGGAAAAAAAAAAGCCTGTAAATACACATCCCCACAGGAAATTATTACCCTGCATATTTTACACAGTAATAGAATGAGATAGAGCAAATCTAAGTTCTAATATGCTCCCTCCCCACCCACACAGGCCAGTGCATAAGCTACCCAATATTTTAAAAGATTATACAGCAGCCGTCTAAGCCAGGGAATGTGGACTTTTTCTCTTTTGAATATACCTTCCGGAATAGCTTCTCTTTAAAACACTTTCTTTTACTCTCCAACTCATGAAATATACAGCGTAGTAGTCGCTCACATAAATTCTGTCTTCAGGATATAAACACTAAATTGTTGCTCCTTCTAGGAATTACCACAGTACCACCTCCAGCCCTATTGGTCCTCCAGCTCTTTCTCTACCCGGAGTCCTGTGGTTCCGCAATTTCCAATAGTGATTCTTTTCCAGTTCGTTTCCACAGGAAAATGAGGGAAAAGAAATGCCATCATAAAACCTCCAAACACCACAATTTAATTTTTCTAGATAATGCAGTTTGCATTTTCATGAAATTAGGATTTAACAACAAATCCAATTTAAGTGATATTTACATATATCTCTTAAACATACTTAAGTTGCTCCTTGTGTAGTAGCACCAGATCGGTGATCCGAACGCAACCTCCACCTTTTTCCCTTATCCCCCTTAGAGCCACTCGCCACAGCCAAAGGGCCGTCTGGGGCCGGGCGCCGGGTCCCGCAGCCCGAGCTGGGATTTGCAAGCCTCGCGGCCACAGCCGCCCGAGGGAGGGGCCCAGCGGACACGGGCAAGTTTCTGGCGGCT